TATTATGAGTATTGTTCAAGTTAAAATATTTTAAAATTTTCAAAATAAAATTTTCTTTGACCTATAGGTTATTCTATATGCATATAAGTATTTCTGGTTACATTTTTGTCAGCATTCTTTAACATTGTCTTATGGTAAATTCATATACTTGGCTTGACTTTAATTATTGAAGTTGAAAAAGTATGTTTTCTACAGTGTTTGATCACAGTTATCAATATATGAAATCTCTATTTGTTCAGTTTTGCTCATTCTCCTCTATAAATGTCCAACCTCACTATTGATTTTGTGTGTTTGCTCTAATGACCAATCACAGAAGTGGGGTAAGTGTGCTTTTAAAATTGTAGTCTTAGCTTCTTTTAGTTCTGCTCATTTCCTCTTAATTTATTGGAGACTACATTATAAAGTACATACAAATATAATAATATTATGTCTTTCTGGTAATCTGGAAATTCATCAATTTTCTATATGACTATAGACAGCCTTTTTTCCCTCTTAAAGTCTGCTTTTATATGCTGCTATATATTCCATGGACAGACTATCATTTCTGTTTTCATGGAACGCTTGTAAACACTTCTGTTTTTATAGGATACTAAATTTTTTGTTTTCTATAGTACTTTGTTTATTATTTGTGTAATGTATCAAATCCCCTTTCTTTACGTGTGACTTTTCCATAGCATTAAATTTTGATGTTTCTCAAGAATAACATATGGTTTAGTTGACAATACGTACGTACTAAGCATTATTCCTGTTGAACTAATTTCACTTTTATTTACTCTATATTGCTTATATGCTTTTGTATGTTATATAGTTTCACACTTTCCTTCCACTTAGCCTATTATGAGTTTATCTTTCACTTATCTGTTTTCTTTCAGAGAGACTGAATATATTTAATTCTTCCATTTGTCTTCTGTTTCTTTAGAAGATGTGAATTGACTCTGTTGCTTAGCTCAGAATTAAAACATGCATTCCTAACACATCATGATTTAAAACAAACAATGGCTTTATTCTGCTTTTAGGAAACAAGGTCTGGGAAGGTAAATGTATACCTTGGGAATTACGTGTTATTATTATAGCAAAAATATTCCTCCCGGCCCCCATCATGTGACAGTAATCCTACCTCTTCATGATGATCAGCATCAATTATCGTGACAACTCCAAGGATGCTAACTCATTCCTGTGCCTGCTCTATTGGCACAAAATAACCAGAGAACACTCAGCAGCATGGCTGTAGCTTAGTGGCCCCTTAGTCCGTCCCCTGGTGGAAACATTCCCTCTCTAGGAACCAGGATCTCTGGAAACACAAGCCAAGGTTTTCAAGTTCAGGAAGCACAAATTCCCTTAGAGAAGTCACCACGAGTGATACTGAGTGGGACTACTAGTCATTCTGCCATTGGCCTCCAATCCCGTGTATTATGCCTACTGGGTGCATAGAACCCTATCATGACTATGGGTTTAAGTTATTTACCTTATCCAGAACAATGGTACCCCATCCTCACAGAAGTCATGGTCAAACTGACCTCTCAGTTGCCTCTATAACAATGTGTTCCACAGCTCTGCTGGGCAAGCAAGTGTTGAATCGTGTGATTTGTGGTAGAACCAGTGGAATGCATGTCCCATGACTGTGGGCTCATTCTGTGTTGTGGCAGTGGCCAAACTCTTTCCTAAGAATTGGGGAAAAAGCTCATCTTGGAGGGATATGCTGACCTCCTGCTATGGTCTTCACCAGCACAGACAGCAAGCTAACTGAAAAGCCATAGTTTTAAAGAGAAATGTATATGTTTTCCCCCAAATTTGGCTGCTTTATCAAGTAGGACTTTCCGTGGTTTTCTTGTCATTATCAGGTACTGGACAGACCAAAGGGCACAAAATAGAGAGCAGAATTCAGCTGAGTATATGGAAGTGTTGGGAATACTTTGAAGGAGAGGAAGTTTGTGCCTAAACAGGGTAGATCCTTGTCAGGTCATGGCTGCAATTTCTGCTCCCTTCACAACCAAGCAAGAACCAAGACAAAACAGAGAGGTTGACTGACAGAGAGCTACACCACCTCTCATGCAGGAATTAGGTGAGCTGGTGATGTAGTTTAAGATTTGCATTATACGCCTATAATTGTACTATGACTGTTAGGCTCCCATATTGTTAAAAACTAGTGTAGGTGAGTGAGAAGTTAAACACCCCCTCATGTGGTATGTGTAGATCCAAACAAATTAAATCCAAGAAAGCCGACCACCCTGAATGAGACCCACTGCAGTGGATGAATGCAGAGGCACTTGGAA